TGACTCTGCCGATGATTATGAGGTGTACAAAAGGCAGCGGAATCTATGAAACAACGCAACAATGAGCGCGTCGGCAGTTCTAAGAGAAGATTTCCACAGCGAAACTAGCCCCAAGATCTTTTGGCTTATTTGAAGCGACAACAGTGGCCCGCAAGTGACGTATCTGTGTTAGAGGACACTGACGGACAGCGTCTGACCTCCAGTACTCATCATGCGTCCACATTGGAGGAGCACTACGCTTCCGTATTTACAAGTGGACATGCACTTATGATAAGCATGAAGTGTGCATCCCCTACTGAAGTCCAGCGCCTGGGTTGCGGTGTAGCAAATGTCCGCAGTCTACTCGCCAGTCTTGTTGGCACGAAACCTGCCGGGCCTGATTGACTTCACTCGCTAATTTTACAGTCCTTATCGGCCATCATTTTGCCTGCCGTGACGGATCAGTGCAGCAGATTGCTGTCCGAGAGTGCATTATCAAGCGACTGTAAACGTTCGATGTTGAAGCCGATTTCAAAAGGCGGTGACCCACGCAATGTGGACACTTACCGGTCGATTTGTCTCATCTCTGTCTTAGCAAAGGTGCGCGAGATTGCGAACAATTTCTTCTCCAGTTGCTGGAGGCGAAAATCTCCTAACGCCGGTATACAACGGCTTCATGAAGGGCCACTAATGTATCCTCAACCAGCTGTTGATTCAGCATGAATGATTGCAAGCGTTGAATCGGGAGAAGTCAGTGGACGTTATCTAGATTGCTTTTAGTAAGGCCTTCTATACATTGAACCATGAGGTACTGCTCCACAAACTGAGGATGTGTGGTCTCGTTGATGCACTGCACCAGTGGATCATTGACTTCCTTATTTGGAGAAGATGGCAGGTACTGATAGATGACCCCCTAACGGAATGGTACCCGTCCACTAGCGGCGCAACCCAAGGCACAGTACTAGGGCCCATTTTGTTCCTGATCCACATAAACGGAATACGTCAGCTTCTTTAGTCGCCATGCACATCATTAGTAGACGACTTGAAGATTTTGGGAAATACTGATTCTCCCGTCTACTGTGACGTCCTTCAGCAGGACCTAGGCCGACTAGCCCGGTGGTCTGCAGAATTTGACCTACCGGTCAACACGGCCAAGTCCTCGTTTCTGAGCCTCAGTATGGGTGGTAATGAGCTTGCATGCACCCTGGATTGCCACCCGTTGCAACCCACTAGTTCCGTAAGATTTCAGCTTACTATCACGCTGTGATCTGAACTTTGACGACAACACGCTAACGGACTATGCCAGATTTTGCAATTGGTCGGAAAAGATTGCCACCCGTCTGATCTCTTCCATGTTAAGACGGGTGCTTGAGTACGGCTCACCCGCCTATTGCCTGATCACAAGATGTGAGGTGCAGAGACTGGAACGGATCAAGCATGTAGCTACCAGGCTCATTCCCAGTTAACGGGGTACCTCATACAGGGGGATTTAGAAGACTAGGGCTTTATACCCAGTCAAATCGTCGGCTTCGAGTTGATCACATTATGACGCACCGGACACTGCACCTGGGCCACTTCCTTATGTTGAGGCGGATGCTGCACGTTCGCGCACCAAGCAGCACACGCTGGCTCCGGTACAAACTAGGAATACCCGATGTAGAGCGCATCGATCACGCTCTGCGCTTTGAGTGTCGAGTGGTGAAATATTGGAACAAAATGCCGGAGCCACTAGTCGAGGCGAAATCGACGTCGGCACTTAGGAACTTGTTTGACACCTACTTTGCGGACTACTGGTATAAGGAACGTATCGCACCTGGATACATGTAGTGCAGCTGCAATATGTTGACACCACGAAGGGATCAGCGACGTGATTACGTGCATGACATTTCGAAATGCCACTGCATTCGAGACTAGTATGATAGTAGAATCAGGGTAGCAAAGATCCTGTCTACGACCATAGAAATATCGCGTTTTTCAAATTACACATTACGTCTAACCAAAGTTCCTTTCACATTGGCACTGCGCCCATTCAACACAAAACTTGAGTTTCATGTACGTATCACGTCAAAACAACCTTTGGTCTATATTCATTGGCCCGATGAACATGCCCAAGCCCTTGACAAACATGGAGGACAAAGGAACTGTGGTGCTATAATGCCACACTTAGATGCCATTTGTTTAGCCATCGATCGAGCTAAACGATTTCGGGCCAACACTCTGAAACACGGTCGATCGCCGCAAGAGGCAAACTGAAGAATAGTACCTAATCGATTTAAGTCGACATGAACGAAGCTCGAACGCTGGCCGTAAATGCAATAGTAAGGAGATGTGTTCCACATTTGTGAGTGGTTATAATTGACGTTAGATATAAACTGACGTTGTGTTCTACGGATAATAGATTTCTGATTGAAGCCCAGACGTTGATTTGTTTGCTTCACAAAGCGTCACTTGACAGGCACTACTTCAACTCATACCCAGTCACGAAGGTCATATATATATATGCGGATTTAATGGCGCACAACACACACCGGCTGACCAGAAATCTGACCCACATGTTACCGTCCGCGTTGTAAGTGACCGTTCAGTGGACCTGATCCAGTCTCATGGTCATTACACATGAACCTGCAATGAGTTCCTCACTTTTGATGTACCGTTTTTATCTGGAAAGTAGTACCTTTTATTTGCGTCTAACGCCTGATTAAAAGCGGTACTGGTACATTTATAAAACCCGGTTTTGTTTGCGCTGCACCCCATATTCCCTCTGTCATTTTGTGCATACAAGCGCAGCCTGTATGGTTTTATGCTCTTGGTTACCAGCTTCAAACACCACAAGCGAAACAGAATGATGTGGACTAATGGACTTATTGATGGTATAAAATTAGTTTGGTACTATGGTAACGATGATGATGGTACAGTGATACTTGAGGCTAGGCTGTTATGGGTAGTACGAGGACCGTACGGGGAACATTGGTGCTAGAAGCAATGAGGTATTTGAGAAAAACATGCGAAGAGAAGGAGGATGTCATTAAAAGCAGCTTATTCACTGTGACGAGCAATGTCGCATGATGAAACGGGGAACCATTTGAAGTCGCTCGGCACGGACGCATGATGAGATGCAGCGTGGCTGGAACACTGCTGGAGGCCTAAAATTGACACAGGAAACCCATTAGTTTTCTCACGCAAGGCCGTTGGATCACAACCTGAACCCAAGGTAACTAGGGTACGGTTACATTCCGCATGGTATGTAATTTCAACGAAATGTGTGCTATCTTTATTCCGACTAAACTTGTACAGCAGTAGCTTTCAAGATATTCGATAGTGCTATCCAAAGCAACTCAATAGATTGGAGATTTACTGTTGTTATCGTATCCGGCTATGGTCCAACAACATCCCGATATATCACTGTACGCAGCATTAAAGCCTTAAAGAGTATTGCTGCTCCTAGGAGTTCGTATTCCAGTGCGGGCAGACTGAGAAGCTACCATTAAATACATTTGAATGACTACATTATGGTAAACAATATATTTCCATTTAGCCGGTATTTCAAAAAACTTGGTCTGAGCTAAGGATTGCAAAAGCATCTTTTTTGGATGCAGTCTACTAAATTAGACTTTTCCTTTTTACTGGGATGAAAGGAAAAGCAGTGGGGAGTTAAACGACATGTCTTGAAATTACCATAACTGGACTCAGCCAGGCAAGTACTGGGATGACTATCTTAAAAAGCAAATGGTTAGTTGTAATATGGTGGGGTCCGATTTCGACCAACCTGTCAAGTCAAGACAAAAATGTACTTTATTCACCGTTGAAGGGCGTATACTCAACTCTGTCACTAGTTTATCGTGATTGCCTTTACATTCCGTTTCCCAGTAAACCTCGATGGTGTCTTGGAGATGGACACTGTGTAGAAGAAATAACCCACAACACTAAATAAACATCCTGTTCTACTGCGAACTGCCCGGGATGACGAAATGAGGACTTCCAAGCCTTTAAGTTAATCCCAACTTGCTAGACTATGATACACAATGTTTATGACATCCTTGGTAGGGAAAATGTAAGTAAATGGCCTTTAAGGTTTACAATAAAGCTGGAAGTAGCCATTATCATTTTTCTTTAGGATTCGTTACTCTCGCAAGTAAGCTGCGTTTGGGCGGTTTTCCTAACTATTGTAGTACAATTATTTTGGGGCATTTCAACTCCAGAATTCCATCTTGAGTAAGACTGCATGACGTACTCCTAGTGTAGCGCTCAGTCAAAGTCAATATAGCATTATTCTTTATATTGAATAGCCACTGATGACCTGTTCTTTGCGCTTGAAAGTGCCAATTTGCTTTGAGTTTCTGTGCTGAATTTTATCATAGAGAACCCAGCTTAACTGGAGACGTTTCTACACTGAGTGCGAGCCTTTGATGATAAGTAGTTTTGTGTGCAGGTTTACTTCCCGTTAACCATTCTTTCTGTGCTTTCCCCTGACGGACACACATGATAGAAACTAACAGTAAAATTTATGAACTCTCGAGTTTGGAAAACTTGGATTATCAAGTACGCTTTGCTGGACACTGTATGAAGTGACGAGCAGCCACCACAAACGAATTTGAGGCCACATTTTATCATTAAAACCTCCAAAGCTAATTGTGCTCTCTGCATGCTTAACTACATTGCGTAGTTAGCTTATAACATGGATTTATGAAGGCCAAGATCACTATGACCGCCAGTAATTACTTGATAATGTCTCGGCTGACAGCTATTTGGGGCGGAATAATTCGGAACCGTTGTTAATGGATACAAGCCCCATTTATATTTTTGCTTGCCTTTCTGCTCTCTAGCGCCATTTTTGGGATGCTTATGATCTCACAGTGACAGCATTAGGATAAGATGCTCTGGTGTTGATAACGGCACCGTTAGTAAAATTATTGTAATTGTTGGTGCTGTGTTGCTGGACATTATCTACCCAACTAATGCAAACGTCTCCACACAAGTATAACAATGAACGATATAAATTTCAAAATCCGTTTGACACTCACTATCCGGGACCTCCAATTCACCCCGAGCACTTTCTTCCGTATCGATTATCGCAGTGACACTCAACGAGGGGCCAAGATCGGAACTTCTTTTTGTTGTATAATGAATGTACTGCAACGATCTTGCGTCCTGTGATTTGGACCCATCGCTACTCGATTCAGTACTGCTGTCACTATCGTAACGGCTGTAGTTAATTTCGTCATTATCATCACTCGTAATTTCTGCAATCTTCGCATCCGTTTCAAATGGGACCTCAGTAGGGTGTGTGCTTTCCAATCCGCAGGTTGATTGCTGCTGCGTTTCTCCGATTCCTGTGGCAGTGGCCAAACGATCGGCTGCTTGCTGTAACAGATGTTGCGTATCAATGACCCTGCTCCCCATCTCAAGATTAGCTAACATTGCTACCTTGCGTTTTTTACCTGCCTTTTCCAAACCCGACTGACGCCGGAGTTTCAACGGAGGTGTAACCTTTGTAGCCTGTGCTGGTCCAGTATTCGCAGGGATGATCATCTGATTTAAGGATTTCAACAGTTTTGCTTTTCCTGTCGGTTTAGCTGATTCGACAGCTTCGGTGGTGTAGATTGGCTCCGACTGCTGTATGCTCTCCTGCCGTATGCTGGAATGCTTGGATACATTAAGCAATCTTCTATACTGGGAGCGGCTATCCGAAGGAAAGTTATCATCTTCAGAAGCCGTATCGGAAAGTTCGTCGGAAGTTGATACTTCAGTTGTAGATTGCCCAGACTTCGAATCGTCAGCTTGATACAGATCTTCTTTCAGAACATCTGCGAAGCTTCGACGAATACCAACAAAGTTATCTAAAATGGTGAAGTCCGGCGCACGTCCTTCGACAAAGTAAGTATCCATTTCGCCTTTACCCTATACAAAGCAATACGGAAACAAATAAAAGATGGGTCTTCGTATTTCCTTCCTGATAAGTGTCATAACTGAATAAAAGAAAATACAAATCTAGCTTGCACTATACCATACGCTGTAGGTTGAGAAAGCCTTATTTTAAAAACAGTACACTGGTATTGCCTGGAAACTAGTTAAGTCTCGTAAATGGTAATGTGTGACCATTAGGAAAACCTAAAAAACTGTGTTAAGTTTGCGAAATTTCTGTTACACGGCGACGCAACAGCTGGACACTGACTAGATTAAATCTATCATGTTTACACATTGGTATTGTATAATAGTGATTATACCGAACTGAGTAACAATCGCATCGAAACGCTATGGGCAAAATCAAGGACCTCGCGCAAAACCCACTAGCCTATTAGTTGTCGACCATATTTGGAGCTCAAGGTGGTCAATTTCGGTGATGCACAGCTCATTAGGCGAAAGTAAACTGGTAGAACTGATGATAGAAAATAGCCATCGGCACTTACTTCTTAGCCTGATTAAAAATGTATGAGGATCCTGCTCCTAACATCCCACTGGCTGGAAGATACTAAGCTATGGGTTAAATACACTGGCAGTAAAACGCTACCCAATTGGCACAAAATAGGGTAACCGATTGAATGCATTTGTCAATCTTGTTTTTGCAAAACAAAGGAAGCCGTGTCTAGTTGAGTTGGAGCAGCTATTAGACCACAGCTAGCTCGCTAATTAGCGGACCTATATGGTGGTCGGAGGATAGTAAACGATATCAGGCCCCAAATACAGTGGATTCGCATCTAAGCCCAACGGGTGTCACTGGCTATGGTTACTCACATGGTAGGTGTTTGCGATTCATCTAACCCATAAAACCAACAAGCCGCGGAATATTGGAATCAAAAAATGGTACAACGCATCGGAACGCTTCCAAAATCACTAGCTGCCTAGGTAGCTGTCTAACCGTTCCAAGCATATTTCATCACATTCAAAGTAATGTAAACTTCCGACGAGTTCCAGATCTCTAATGCACCGCGTAGGATAGATAACAATGGAGGAACTATCACACAGGCATAGCTGTAGTCGTGCTCCGTCTTTCTCACATTTATCCCTTTCGTTCTGCCCCGACCTCACCTCCATCCATTCTCTGTTAACGCCGCGATTAGTGACCCTACCACAGTTTGCTTTGATAAGTGTTTTTCGTCTCATGAACAAACTCAAAATACTGCTTAAACTCCAACGACAATTCCGTGTACACACCAGAAGAATGTCGCAGTTCATCTACTGAAATTTGGGGTCGTGGATCTTCGTTAGTTACAGTATGTCCTAAGGCGCACAAATTAGCACCGGTCCGTTAGTCAATCGCACTCGTCTGAAAGTTTGAAAGCAAGGCAATCAATACCTATGGCTTACATGATTCACATTTGCAAGACGCGGGTAACCTACTCACTCTACAACCCCACATGTTACCTTGGTGGCGCTTCCACCCCGTGAAAACGCAGCTTCAACCGTCGGTTAAGTCGTTGTGTAGGTATTACTCTCATCTCATGGATTGAAGTGGCTTCGGTCACCAGGATCCTCCTCAGTAACAGTATACGAGCCGCCAGAATGGCTGGGTCTATCGAAGTTTGGAAGTCCAAGGGGACAATCAGCACTTGTTTGTCACTGCTGCCTACGCTTCGGCAAACTGTAGCGCTACCTCCATGAACAAGGTCATCTTAACGAGCTTGTTCGTTGACGAAGAAATACTGATATTGAATCATCATGTAGCTATCTGTGCGCTAAAATTCAAATTATTCAGTGAACTCGACCAGAGCAAGTAAGATAGTGTAATGACTGCTACACAGCCCCAGGCCTTGCACCAGTCATGGACGCAAGTCGATCCATTCACGTTCGATTATAATGGATTATCGATGAAGAAACTGCGCGTCCAGCAGATGCACCATCTGAAGCGTAGACGTAAACATCGACATAACATTTCTAAGTACTGGCTTGCGGAAGAGGCTTGGCAAGGCTAGTTGTCAAATAACAAAGTCAGATGAATTTTCTCGGTGTCAAAATCTATGATATCTGTGAGTAAACACCCATTAAAATTACTTGACAATTATTGACTATCAGTGTATCAGATGGCATTGCCAGCATGCGTGCCTTCATGTGTAGCATGTAGTTACCAGCCTGGACAGTGACTCTTGACGCAGCCTCTGCAATTACTGGCTACGCACTGATACCCTCCAGTTGAAAACGAATACGGCGTGACCGGTAGTGTTGTAAGGGAATAATGAACAATGAGTTAACACGTCTAAAAGACATAGGATTAACAAGTCCTGTAAGATGGGTGGAGAGAAAATTTGACTTAAAAGGATCAAAGGATAAGTAATGGTCATCTTAAGCTTCTGCCGATTTAACTACACATTTGCATGACGATAGTTGGAAATGGGAATGGAATGTGCACACACAAGATAGTATGGAGAGAAGTTTAAGCTCACATACTCCAAAAAACTGAAGTGACAACGCTCACCCGGGTGAAATTTAGTTGACCGATGTGATACGTTTATCCAGTTGGGACACATCCAAGCTATTCACATGCACACTTATGGATGTATCCTCATCTCCCCTTTGCGGACAGGGCTGGCAAGTACCTAGTTTGGTTTGCGTTTCTTTCGTCCACCGAGTAAAGCGGACTAAATCAAATAATGCAGGAGGCAAATTGTATCACCAAGGCGCTTTCCGAGAAGCGTCAATGTAGGGGCAAGGATGACGTGAGTTGGAAGGGCGTTCCAGATTCGGGACACGGGAGGGCGAAAGCTTTTTATCGGCAGGCAAGTAGGGTAGTGTAGTACATAGCCAATCTGATCTAGTGGCCTCTGACTTTGGTATTTCGGCTCAGTTGCATCAGGTTGCGACAAGGGTGAATTGGATTCGTCAGTATTAAATAGACCATGATGAGGTCACCTTAAGTCGAATTTCATCACCGTAAAATCTCAGGCCCTGCAGCATGCGCTGGTAGGAGAAGTGAAACAAGCCTCTAAGGACTTTGGTCCGTCTACCTTGGGGAGCTTCGAGTGCATCCTCAGGGCGCTTGCGCCAGGCATGCCAGGCCTGGATCGCGTATTCCACGTGGGGCCTCAAGTAGGCCTTCAGCATCTGCAGTTAGACTGATATCTTGAAATTTCGAAAGCTCTCCTTAAGTATCCAAGATGTCGACTGGCCCATTTTGATGCATTTTCCACTTGTTTCGAGCAGTCGCGATCATCCTGCACAACCATCATGAGGAGGTATTCTTAGAAAGCATGTTGCAATTGCTGGGTGCAAGGTCGATATCCTTTGGTAAGCTGATGGCGCATGCTTACAACCTTGCGTTTCTCCAACTTGAACTGGAGCCGATTTTCGGATGACCAAATAGACGCGCTGTCAAGATCGCTCTGCAGGGCCGTTTGGTCGTTCACACTGGATGTCATGCATGAGTTTGACATCCTCTGCAAATGGCAAAACGTTCGAGTCCAGCATACCAGAAACATGATAAATAAATACTAGGAATATACTCAGCCCCAGTACCGATCCCTTGGGCACATCACAGTGGACTTCAGTGGGGTCAGAAATTGAGCTGCGTACTCTTTTAATCAGCTGACGTTGAATAAGGAAGTTGCTTATCCAAACCAACAAATGGTTACCGATTTCATAGTTTCGAAGCTTGTGAAGCATAATGCGGTGGTTCAGGCCATGGAACGCCTTGAAGAAATGCAGGTTGATGACGTCGACTTCTACTGTGGCATCGACTGACTCTGTCCAGCTTGTTCGGACTAGAAGCAACTTTGTACTGCAAGAGCGATTGCGCCGAAATGTTTGCTGCCGTAACACTGATATTGTTGCTCTCAAAGTATCCCATGAGTGCCTCTGCGATTATACTTTCGGGTAGTTTGGGCAGCATTGGGAGGTGATGGGTTAGACGGCAGTTTAAGGGCTCCGTAAGATTCAGACTCGTAAAAGGGGAGTGATTATTCCGTGTTTTCACATTTTTGGAACCTGCATTTCATCAAGACATCACTGAAAGAAACGAGCTAATGTTTCGTTATTGTTCATGACAGGTGTCTGCAACGCCTTCGGTCTGATGTCCTCGAAGCCAAGTGAGCTGCTCACGCGCAGCGATAATGGTTTTTGTATCACACTGGCTGCCGTGAACAACAAGTGGTTCAACCCCGGTGGCAGTGGAAACAGTGTCCAAAGGAGGGTGAGATGCTGATTCCCTCTGAAAGGTGTGGAAGAAATATTGGCGAAGCGGGTTGGCCACCTCTTGTGTAGTTTGCGCCGGACCATCTACTGCACGTGAAATCGGGTTCCTTTTGCTGCCCTCCACAAGCATGTTAACGTGTCTGCACAAAAATTTAGGAGTTGTACTGCATTGCGCCGCGAACATTTCTTGGTACCGGAGTTTGTCTTCGCCGATCAAATCAACCTAGTGGCTTCGTTGATTTGTGTAGGCAACCCAGTTCTGCTTACTCTGACAAGCTTTGTAAGCGTACCATGCTGATTCCCTTAAGGCCATGCTTTTTCTACTGCTGCTTCTTAGGTAACACTTCATTTGTTTTGAGCCAGTAATCTTGCTTTCGGACGTACTTGTCACTAGCGCGGTGAATTGGGTGACAAACACCATCCAGGTGACATCGGGCGGCTGCTGGGGTAGGAAGGATCGGAAGGTTTCTTGAAAGAGCATGGACAGGAAATGGTAATGTAGGTTTCCTTGTTGTTCCCACTGATGTACTCCGCGTAGCAGATATAACGAAGAGCAACATATTGTGATCGCAGCTGCCAAGTGGTCATCTATGTTCACGGGATCGAAAATTAGTTCCTCGTTGGTTAGCGCAAGGTCCAATACGGATGGTGCGTCACATGTTCTGAATCGCGTTGGTGAGGTGACATGGTTGTACAGTTACATGGGCAATCCTCTCTTACAAGCCGGCCTTGTATAGGCTAAAGAAGGATGCTGTGACTCTTCGTGCGCGTAGATT